TTTTTTTTTGAGGGGGGGGGGGGGTTCTTTACTATAGCTCTTATATACTATGCCCCAAGACCCTGTTCTAATTATGAAGGCCCCTTTCTTAGGGCCAGGGTTTAGGGTTTAGGGCGGAGGTCGCAGAAGGATTGGCAGTGGAAGATTCAGGGCCCTGGCATGTAGGGTTCAGGGTTTTAGGGTGCAGGGTTTTAGGGTTCAGGGTGTAGGGTTTAGGGTTTAGGGTTTAGGGTTCAGGGTGTAGGGTTTAGGGTTTAGGGTTTAGGGTTCAGGGTGTAGGATATAGCTTTGTAGGGCTTGGGATTTAGGGCTCTGGGGTCTACAGCGCAGGCCAATGACCGACTACACCAGTGCCTTTCCAGAGTGGGAGATTCCGACTTAATATGATGCCTGAAGAATTAGTGATATGATTCCCTTATTCTAGTCCCTGATAGAAGTATGCTATAATACATACCCCCAAAACCCTCCTGTATAGTGCTGTAGGGTTTAGGGTTTAGGGTCGTGTTGTAGGGTTGTGAAGGGGAGGTCTATGAGAGTTTATGGGGTACGAGGTCCTATAGCCTGTCATGCTAGACCTTGAACAGTAAGGTCTTAATTACTTAAAACCGGCGTCCTAGCCTAAGCTCTAAACACCACATGAACCCTAAACATTCGAGTCGGTTTTCCGAGCCGGTACGTTCGAGTTAGGCTTCGAATTCAAGAGTCGTACCACCTCCCTGCTGGACCCCCGAACAACACACACTGAAGCCCTAGCCCGAAGCCTGAATTAGCAGACAAGTGTGGGTATGCTGACCTCGGGGTTCTGAATGCTTCTGCAGACGAAAAAGAGACCTTGAGCCTTGGAGAATGCTGGCGCGGGTTTAGGGTTTAGGGTTTAGGGTTCAGGGTTTAGGGTTTAGGGTTTAAGGTTCAGGGTTTAGGGTTTAGGGCCCTAAACTCTTAAACCCTAAGCCTAAGCCCTGGAGGACATGATGAGTTCTGCGACATTTGCCTCAAGGTTGGCAGCGGCATGTTCAAGGAGCGGGGGAGAAGTGGTGAGAACAACATCGGCCAGCTCACCAGTCACTGGGCCCGCTTGGCTTAGGGTTGTGATATTCAGGGGTCGAGTTTAGGGCTTGGGCTTCGATATCCGGGAGTGCCTCACACTGCGGTGCTGTGAATCTAAGCCGTTGAGGGGCTCGAATCGTCGTAAAGTGCGTAAAGTCACGCTCCATCCAAGTCGCTACTACGGTCTTTTAGGTTCAGGATTGTGGAACACTGACCCCAAAGCCCGACAACATCCCAGGTGAGGTTTGCGATTCTGCTGTGACCATACTTCCCGGCTTCAGCCTCGTCACCATCAACGGAGGCGGGGCAACCACAGAAGTGGGAGTTTCCGAAAATAGGGGACCCTAATATAGTACCCTAAATAATAGGATCCTTATTATAAGGACCCCAAAATAAGGTACCCCAATTTTCGGAAACCCCCAAATGGGACGCCATGGGCCTCGGTAGCATGATCCTTCACACGAGAAGCCTTGAAGCCGTCGTCCCATGCCCGGTGTCGCTGATTGTAGTGGGTTTAGGGTTTAGGGTTTAGGGTGTATTTATATAATATCGGAGCCAGGATGAGCATGGCTAAAAGAAGCAATTCGCGCTGTTTGCGGCATGGCGACGATCAGGTAGCGAGAATCAGGTTTTACAAGGTTACCATAGGCTTTTTGTAGGTTTTGTTTTATAAGTTTTGAGATTCCATTAGGCTTTTATACGGATTTCTATAGGGTTCTATGCGTGGTGTGTGTGTGTGTGTGTGTGTGCAGCTTGTTTTTCATCAAGGTAGGTGTAGGGTTCAGGTTTAGGGCTTAAGGTCTTTTTTGCAGCCACCAATGTAACTTTCTACATGAAGACATGTTCAGAATCTCTCTGAACCCTTAACCCTAAACCCATTCTGAACGAGTCGTGAGCTCCGCGTTCAGTTACCCTGAGCGCCCGTGGGAGTTTCAAATTGCAACCCTGATCCCGGAGCCTAGGGTTTAGCGTTTAGAAGCATGGTTCAACTCTGGTGACTCTAGTGAAGCAATTCATCTGCAGTACATCAGGCAACTATGGCGACGATGGCTCGCACCGAGAGCAACAGCACCTGCCTTGCACATCCAGGGCTGGATTCTGAAAGAGGGCATGTAAAGTGTTTGCCGTTGAGGGTCCAATGCAGAAACATGCATTACGGTCCGAAAGGAATCCTCAAAGCCTACGACAGGCCCAGAGAAGAGTAATATAGGGGCCTGAGCAGCTAGTATATACTGCCTTCTTTCCTTACGGTTCCCCAGGTCTTAAGCCCACTCTATTCAGAAACAACAGATGCGTTTTGGTCTACTTGGAGTTTCAGGGAACTAAGTAAGTAGGGTTATAAGTTATAAGAAAGGTACCTATGTAGATTTACCTGCTTACAACCCTTATTCCGCTGCTTATAACTCAACCCTAAACCCTAAACCCTAAACCCTAAACCCTAAACCCTAAACCCTAAACCCTAAACCCTAAACCCTAAACCCTACACCCTACACCCTACACCCTAAACCCTAAACCCTTTCCTGAAC